ATTGAAGTTAAAAACAATTGTAAAAAAAAAAGTTCACTGTTCCTCGAGATATTGCTTGGTCCATTTGTGACGTATCTAGTAGCTTAATTAGCCCAAATGGACAACAAAAGTGATCAATGGCAATCCCTCTGTTTTGCTGATCAACAACATAAATAAACACGCACATACAATCTATTACATTATATTGAACTACAAATGAGTATGCAGTTTTCTTTACGATTTTGACTTTTGAATTAAAATATACATTCATGAATTAGAAAAATAATTAGATAAATCATACTAAAATTAAACATAAATTAAAATTCTGTATTAACAACGCGTCACTTGTGAATATCATATACAATAATTCAAAACTACAGAAAATAATGTTTTTTTTTTCTGATGATCTGAAACCAAGGACAAGAACCGAACCGAAAACAACTGGTTCTGGAACCAGAATATTTTAAATATTATGAAACGAAATCGGATCAGAAACTTTTATATTGATATATTAAGTACCGAAACCGAACCGGAATTTTCAAACCATAAATGTTCTAAAAATAAAACGTTTTTATTTAGCATAACTCATTATTTATTACTACTTCGTCTATAAATGATCAGTGATTCATTTTCGTAATATTTATACCTAAAACTCTACAAAATTCGTATTCTGGGCAGGTACCTGTAAAACATGACTATACTTTTGAAGTGATCATTACATGTGTAGATATTTATTACAAAACAATATTATTTGGAAATTTCTTTCCTAGTATACACCAAAATTGAAATCGATATTATATTACTTTTGAAATAAAGCGATGGTAATCATAAAATAGTCTATTTTTAATAGGAAAACTGCTTGCTAGTGTATTATTATGGCAAAAGACACGTAAACGAAACGTTCCGTCAATCGAAAATAATATCCTAATGACTGTAATTTTCTATTTTATTATAGTATTAATGTGTTTTTTTTTATACTCCATAGAAGATTACATTGATTGGCAGCAATATATTGTAAAATAATTTTTCGTTTACCACTATAAAATTATTATTATTGTACACTTTAACGGGTATATATTCGAAGAACCGGTACCGGAACCGGTAACGATAAACTCAAACAGTTCCTGTCCCTGTGTGAAATATGAAGTCATAGAAAAATATCCACTCAGTCTTTAAATTGAAATGCAAAAGAAAATAAATGAAAATTTAATAGATAATGAAATTCCTTGTACGTTTAGAATTTACCCGTCTTATTTATTATCATTCTGATAACATATAATTAAGTATTTACGATATTAATATTATTCTAACGATGTAAGCATGAGAAATAATATTAATTTAAAATCACACAGTATTCACATTACTGCTCACAAAACAGTTTCATATAAATTATAGAAATATATTTACATATTAATACATGAGTTATTAAGTATCATAAAGTAACTACCGATATACCGTAAAGTAGGTGTTATAAGAAAATTGAATTCCGAAATAGTACTATAAATGTTAATGTATTCGGTTCAAGCGTATAGTTAAAACAATCAATGTATTGTTTATAATATATAATTTAGTAGGTATATATTCTATAAAAACCCATATCGTGGACGGATAAGGAATTAAGTAAACTGGAAAAAATCGTTTTTTTTGTGATTTTACCGTAACTAAAAGATTTTTGTTGTTACATTTTTGTGTAAGCGCGTGTTTTTTTGTTTTGCATAACATTTTTTTCGAATCTGTAAAATATTATCTAATAATTGAAATTATAATTACTATAAGGGCATTTAAATATTTGCGAAGAATTCTTGACCTATTACAAATTAAAACAACATTTTTCATATTAACAAACTCTGAAGTAATTTTTAGAAAATAACAATCAGCTATAGGCTGTTAATTTGTGAGTTATTTATACCACTTCTAACAAAACCTTAATTGTTTTTTCCATTATGGTCATTATATTGCTAGGTCCTACTTTCATTAACTCCTTACTAGCGTGAAAGATTTGAAACGAACGCTTAGTATAATAGTATAATGTGCGTTTGCACTTACTAGACCACTTCTTTTCTTTTCTTTTTTATTAAGATGATAGATCATATGATGCGACTTATTGAAAATATCATTAATTAGATATATTACACCAACAATTCCTACTGTTCAACAATATTGAAAGTCCCTTATTTAAATTAAAAAATCTTATTATTCTGATTATAAATGTATTACTATATATGTTATACGCTTTATAATGTAACCTGAATTCAAAGGATATAACTAATTAATAACAATTAGTATGCTAGGTATTCAGCTAATTTCATACAGTCGTATCAAAATATTCTCTTAAATACTCACTTATACATAATTTATTATTATTCTAATGTATTGCTGTGTATCATAGTGATATATCATTAAAATTATGAATTATGAATCATCGTACACGCATTATGTAAATATAATCAAAATTCGCTTATCTCAAAAACTTGTGTTACATTCAGCCGTCAAGTGTTTGATCAAATATGACATTATCTGATCTAATATTATAATTGTAATAATTCTAAGTGTCTTCAAAGCACAATTTCTCACTAAAAACTAACAGAGCGTCAATGAACTTTCCAAGTCTACCATGGACTGTTACGCTATGAAAACTTTTTACCGGTTGAAATTAAATTATTAATTAAGACCATTAATCCCCTTAATTTATGCTCTTATAATATAAATATTTATTCATAAGTTTTATATTACATATCATATTTTGGATAAAATTAAATATTTATAAATGTATGTGTGTCAACAGACACTCTCTTCCCTCACGTCACCACGTCATGTACACTATGTTAACCTATTTCCTCATTGAATTATTATAATGTGTACAGATTATAAATATATTTTATGTAATATAAGCATATTGTTTAAGTTTCTTGATTCTTAGATCAGTTTTACTTCCTATTTAGCTTAAAATGATCCAAAAATGTTCTATAGAATTACTCAAGGGATATGCATATATATATATATATAACTACATGGAGGATTATAGTTTAAGAAATGTACTTAATAATTAGTATATTTTCATTTTTCATTACGAAATCCTTATCATTTAATGAAATAAATCGTTATTTAAAGAAATTTTTACAATAAACAGTCACGTATTAATTACATACGATAAAATGCAATTAAATTTCTATCAAATTAGTTAAAAGTTATTATGTTACAAAAACTTAAAACTTGAGCTTAGGAGCTCCTTAACTCTGTACTCATTAGATACTATTCATTACGTATTATATTCGCATAAACTAATATAAGACAAATGAATTGTACAATATGTTATGATTATTCACACACACACACACACACACACAACACGTACATGAATATTTAGAAATATATTGCTCCGTCTATTAAACTTTTGACTACCTACCAACTAAGAAAAAAAATTAATAAATAAATAATAAATTATGCAGATGTAACGAAATAATTATGTTAATTTTGATTACGTCTCAGTAGTGCTTCTATAAAAACAAGATGTATAACAACAAAATTATGAAAACTTTTGCAATTAAAATTCAGAGCACACCAATCGCACAAAATTAAACACAACTATAGTTATTTAATAATTTTAAAAAGTAAATATTAATTAAATGTTGATAAAAATAAAACAAAGCGTTTACTAAGTGTTGTGGCATGTGTCAACGAAGTCAACGTCACAGTTTTGAAAAAAAAAAAAAAAAAATGCTATGATATTTATACTAGTGGAATGGAAGTATCAGCCTTTGTGAAAAACGTATTGTAATTTGTATAGACTTTTATGAAAATAAAAAAAAATTAAAAACACGAAAAAAATGTCGAAAAAAACCCGTTCAGCACATAATGCACTATATGTTTACCTAATCTCGTATATCATAGTAATATTATCTCGGTGGATGGTTGTAAATAACGCGCGTTTTCATACTGTGTTCGTTAACTAATTTTGAAATAATTGGCTTAAAGGACTTTTTGTTTTCGTCCAAAACGAAAAAAATAAACAAATCATAATGTACACGATAAACTTAACGCAATAATTACAATAATAAAACCGATCCACTTCGTGGGGAATCATTTTATAATTATTGATTTAGCGCTTCAAAATGTTAATTTTTTGTTTCTCCTCACGTGCGATTTGTATATTTTTATCGTAACAATCGCACCGACGTAAAATGCGACGATTACGTTATCCCGGTGACGGGCTCAGCACACGGTTTTCGTTGGATCTACGCAGAGGCTAAAATGTATACATTTTCGCGCTGCACACTTAAGGATCTTGTCGCACTCCCCTTTCTAACGTTAACGGTAATGAGTAACGCAGTTGAAACATGTGGTGTTTTAGATTTTGCTGATATGCGTCTCGGAATTTTAAAAACACGTACAACAATTCGATGAGGATATGTAAAATTAAAAACAATTACCGTAGTATGCAGCGTGGTTGGGCAACTCAAGGTCACTGAAAAGCCGATTTTATGAAAATTAAAATCTAGCGGGCCGGAGTACGGAGAGCGAAAAATTAGTCGTTCAAAATGCGTGTTTTAATTATCATTTCTGTGCACGAAAATGATAAATTCAACACACACGACGGCACGACACGAATGATACGAAGAAACCGATATAGTTGAGCGGTTCGGTGCTGAATGGTATACATATTACATATGGACATATAACGATGTTTAAAACCAGATAACCGCTAGTTGCCCACCCCTGGTATAGGGAGCACAACACACTTTTTAACTTCGTACTGCGCGCTTAACATTTCGTATTGCACGAACAGTAATTTTCGGTCCCTGGATGTACGCTTTGTTCGCGTCTGCCGCGCGAAAACGTTATAAATCGCGACCGATTCGCCGATATTTCCGTTTAAAACATCGGACCGTCGGACGTCGGCACGGTTAACACCCGTCCGTAGCCGCCGCGTGCGGTCGTTCTTATTATTTTCCCCGTAAATCCGCCCCGGTCAACGCCATCTAGCGGCGGCGACGGCGCGCCAACGAATCGATGGTGTCGTACCCCTCGTCAGTGTACGGTCGACCAACAAAACGACACGCATGTGTTTCGCTCCGTTCCGTCGGGACACTGTCGATCTTTAGGCGAACTTCTGCGGATAAACACCGACAACCGAAATGGTGAGTACCTACAACGGAATCGCGTTCGATCGCTGCGTCCGAACGGTATTACATTTTTATTTTTTTTTTTCCCCCCCCTCGACCATTTGCGAACACACGGTTTGCCGCGGAAACGGTACGATAGAGGTTTCGCTTCGACTGCATTCGACTATTCATTTTTTTTTTTTCCCCCGACGATAATTCCGTTTTAAACTTATCGAAATAAAAAAAAAATAATAATAAAAAATACAACAACGATCTTAAACACTTAAACACGTCCACGTTCCTGCGCTTAAAGTATTCATGCTTGTCCGCGTGTATTTTTCCAGTACGGGTTCGTGAACTACGCTTTGGAGCTGCTGGTACTGAAAACGTTCGGCGAAGAGACATGGGAAAAAATCAAGTGAGTACGAAACGATTAAACGTTAAGCACTACCGACGAAAGTGCACTGTGCCCTTGTTGTGATCACGGCGTGCTCCTTACAGGAAGGACGCAGAGGTGACGATGGACGGCCAGTTTTTGGTCAGACAGATTTACGACGACGAGATCACGTACAATCTAGTGTCGTCGGCCGCGCAAATTCTCGGTGAGCATTACCGTTTTTTTGTACACCATTCGTAATTCGCTAAAAGCCCAAAGTTCGTCGTGCATCTAAACAGTAAAGTAAAATATATACGGCGATCAGTGCAAACACTATTTCGATATTGAAATACTACTGTTACCAATATTGTTCAAACGCGCTGCAGTTTTATTTTAAATTCACGAGCGAACTACTACGTACAATAACTTGGTCGTACGATGTATGTTTGTAATAATTTTAAGCCTCGTTCGTTTTACTTACATTATAATAATATTGCCGTATGTTTATGAAAACTTTTTAGTATTTCAATGATATTATTATCATTATCGAATAACTGGAAAATGTTTAGTTTCAAGTTAAAAATACAATATTTTTCGTTTGTATTGAGTATTTTTAACGGTCGGTTTACAACATAATATTATACAACGATTTGAATAAATAAACAATATAAGTAGCTCAGAGTAATTCATGGGGTGATAAAGAAGACGTATACTACTTATACAGTAGAGACGTAAAAAATTTGCTTTCAGTATTTCATTTTTAAATAAGTATGTTTAAACTTGATTTTTAGATTGAAAAAATATATATATATATATATATAAAAAAGAATTATATTTATGTTTGAAAAATGTTAATGAACCATTTAGAGCATTACGTCATGTGTGTATGCATGTGTGTGTGTATGTGTGTGTTAAATAGAACTGCCGGCCAGCAGCATACTAGAACTGTTCGGGAAGATGTTTTTCGAGTTTTGTCAAGATTCCGGTTACGATAAAATCCTACAGGTGCTCGGAGCCACACCCCGGGACTTTCTTCAAGTACGCATTTTTCGACCAGCACGCATGCACGGCGTTGCTGTCCTAAAATACTACGCCATAGGTATTGTGTACATCGTTGTGTTACCCAACCGTTGTGTTTTTGCAGAATTTGGACGCTTTACACGATCACTTGGGCACACTGTATCCGGGTATGAGAGCCCCGTCCTTCCGGTGCACCGAAAGGACCGAGGACGGAGCGCTCGTTTTACATTACTATTCCGATCGCCCCGGTTTGGAGTACATAGTCATTGGCATTGTTAAGGTTGTTAAAACGATATTTTCATTACGCGTCGAAAAGCGACGAGTGTCAGCTGGTCTTACAATGAACGATTGGGGGTTTTTTTTTCGCCATTTTTTCAGACCGTCGCTAGCAAACTTCACAACACCGAGGTAGAAGTGGAGATATTGCAAACCAAAGAAGAATGCGATCACGTGCAGTTTTTAATAACCGAGAAAAACAACACGGGCCAACGTCAAAACGATCAGACTGCAGAAGTTGAGACACTATCGCAAGGTCATCATTACGATCAAATATTATTATACGTCTTTCACACGTTTTAGAGTCGATTATACGGGGGAAAACGATATACAGTTCGAGGATAAAAAAAAAATGTACAAACTATGCGAATAATAGTTGTATTTGACTAATATTATAATAATCCATAAAAAAAAAAAAAAAATACAGGAACGAGATCCGACCAAAACATTGCTTTTGGGAATATTATTCAAGCAGTGCTTAAAATTTAAATTATGTAGTGTCAGATTAAATTAATCGACTATCACTTTAATATTCCACCATTAAAATCAATTCAGTCTTATTTCAATATTTGTTTTGAAAATACTTGACTGATATTTTATTATATTTACATTGTTTCCATTCTATTTCCGAGTATAAAATACCATATTTTGTTAAACAAACAAAATATAAAATCAAATCCGGCGGGACTATTGAGAGAGAGAAAAGATACACTATCCGTACGAGAAATACATAAATAGTTAAGATACCAACTGTGAAAATGTAAGCTAAAAAATGATGTGTTTCGACCGCAACTATTATTACAAATCTACAAAGGCATAAAAATAAAATACGTACACCAAGAAAATTATATTATTTGAATAAAAACATAATACAGCGTTTATAATATTATTTTTAACGCTGACCAAAACATGGGTAAACCATTTTATTTTCGATACCTCGCCGTGTTAATAATACGTAAATCGATAGCTTGCGAAATGGCGATACCATAAGCGAGTGTTATTTTGTCGTAACGTTGTGTTATGATTTCAGAACCGAAAATTAGTCCGGCCACGTTTTGCCATGTGTTCCCATTCCATTTGATGTTCGACAGAGACTTGAACGTCCTTCAAACCGGTTGCACTATCGCAAGAGTAATACCCATGGTACAAGGGCCAGAACCATGCAAATTAACACAGATATTATACCCCGTAGGTGTTAAACACACACACACACACACATACACACACACACACACACACACACACACACACACACACACACACACACGCACGCACACACCATGACACGTCCAAGTATCCAACAGATAATTATTATTAATGTTGATTCGGTTCGGCAGGTAAGACCTCATTTGGAATTGACATTCGACAACATTCTAGCGCACATCAACACTGTATACGTTCTGAACACTAAACCGGGAATCATGGATGATGATTCCAACGATGGTTGTTCAATATCTTTGCGGCTAAAAGTAAATAGAATTGACAGATTTATCGGACACGTAACTTAACGTAACACTAGACGGCGCATGCGCGTTTAATAATTACCAAAATAGTGTAGACCAGGGGTCGGCAAATAATTTACATTGGAGTCCTAATAATTAAAATAATAAATCAATGAGGTCCAGTGAAAAAAATCTTTTTCAAATATTTATATTTTAAAAATAGCAGTATAAAAATAAAAATAATTATTTGGTTATTACAATTAATTTATATTAAAAATTACAATATTAGGAGTATGAAAATAAAAGTTGACAGCGTCCAGAGTATTGCCTTCCACCAGTTGCCAACCCCTAGTGTAGACGGTCGACAATAATATTATAATATAATACCTATGTGAAAATGTTGGCTTGTTAACAGGGCCAGATGCTGTACGTACCGGAAACGGATCTGATGTTGTTTTTGTGCTACCCGAGCGTCGTGAACTTAGACGATTTGATCAAGTTATTAAAAACGATTTTTTTTCTTTTCTCTAGCCCTATTAGCCCAGTTCCGTTCTATTCCTTGAACCGTAGTATACCTACATGTGTGCTCTATATGTCCGTATCGTTGTTATTTGTCGTAGGCGTGGGCTGTATATAAGCGACATACCATTGCACGACGCCACCAGGGATTTGGTATTGATGTCCGAGCAATTCGAAGCTGATTACAAACTGACCAGGGACTTGGAGTTCTTGACCGACAAACTTCAGCAGACATATAGAGAGCTGGAGAGCGAAAAACAAAAAACAGACAGGTATTTATATGGTTAATCCACAATTGAGGGGAAAAAAAATTCCAGTTGAGCGTTTTTACATGTATACCATTCGTCGATACGTGTTTACACAATAAATCGAATTGCAAAAATTAAATGTAAACATGAAAAAGTGGATACATTGGATGCAGCAACATAATATATAATATAAAAAATATTAATTTAATAAAAGTTTTATAGAATATTTGTATTTGATTATTAGAAGAAATTGATAGATATAAAAACGTTTTTATCAAGCTGCATTTTATTTTTACAGCACTGTGCTGCAACACATTTTATCATTTTTTTTTTATATATATATACATATATACACATATCCATCGATTGTAAATTACTCAGAGGATACTTACTCTTATGTAAAATAATTGATGCAAAGATTTTTATGACTTATACCAACAATTTTTACCTAGATGTTTATTTATTCAAACATACACAGTTGAAAGCTGGATTTTTCTCATGTTTTCAACCCAATTATTATTTTTTTCTCAAATTAAAAAAAAAAGAAATTTCGATATTTTTATTGTTAAAGTAGAAACTATAATAAATCACATGAACTGACATTTTTATTAATATATTATTGTAATCTTATCATATTTATGAGATCTTGCATTTTCGAAGTATTTTACTTTACATTTAAATAATTTTCAGTCTGTATAATTTCAAATATAATTACATTCTTTCGTCAGGACTATGAAATTCGTGAAATTAAGATTAAAAATTCCTGTCAGACGTTATCAAATTTATATTTTAATTTATTTTCAATAAAATATCCGTTCGTCCAACAACACTTTTATTTTATAATATAAATGTCTTGCTGCGATGTTCAAAAATATTCTGTGGTATTGCTTGTTTGAGTAATTTATATTGATAAATATGGTATTAAACAACATAAAAGATAAATAAACAAAACCTCACAGTTATTATTCAATAAAACTAACTGTAATACGTATTACAACTAGTAGAGCATTCTACACTCAGTTTAATGCCGAAGGTACAAAAAGTCGTAGTAATATTAAAAATAATAAAATTTCATATTTTACACAATGATTTTAATCGAACTCTGTTTAGATGTAATAGACGAAACAAACGGATGGAGGGTTACAAGTAATATAGTAGAGCTCTGCATGGTCTTGTTTATACCGGTCTTTTACGGTCTTAGTGATTTTCAGTTTAATTTCGTCCGGTCCGGTCCCCATGTCTACAAAAAAAAATCAGTTCAGTCTAGTCCGTCCGCCTTCGGTTCAATAAGATAATAATGGTCTTAACATTGAACAACAATTTAATATGATTTCATTTATATAAACTGCATAATAAAATAATACTCAATATAATAATTATATAACATAACATAATATAATATGTTATTTTAACTCAGATTATAATGTTTTGGGACACCAAAATAACTCATCGTGTTTCTGTATGATTTTATTGGTGACATAATATTTACTTATTTTAGAATATCGATCCAGAAATGGAACTCGAGTTAATGATTATGAATTATCTTATCTGATATCGGTATTATTTCCAAATATATACAATATATATAGTGGACAATTTTATATTTTATTTTAAATATTTTACGTCATTCGGTCTTATTTTTAAATATTGGTCCGGTTTCGGTATTTTCTAGTACATTCTAAACGATACAGTCCAATCCAGTCTGGTTTCATCTTTTATTTCATCGGCCCTGTCTTTAAAAAAAACGGACCGTGCAGAGCTGTACAATTTAGAAGAGCCCCAACATTAGATTCTCCCGTCAATCTTATGATAACGAAAAACAACCATAAAAATAATATTATATTTTAAAAGTTATTACTACATTTTATGCGACAGAAAAATGACAATTACAATCAAAGACTATGGACTGATCGATTTTTCTGCCATCGAATTAGCGTATAATATGTACATACATAATAACAGTTATATTGAGTAAAATTCGGCGCTCTCCGTCTTTTATTTTCTTATCCGACTATGGATAACAAGTGAAATTTGCTTTGCGGTGTCCTTTAATCTCGTGCCGTTCCTATTTCTCTCTTTCAAAACCTCCAACACCACTACTGTTGCCGTCCGCGCCATAGCTTATCATATTATACCGCCTACCTTCCTTACGGCTCTGCAATAATAATCCCCACAGTGCTTGACAATTTTATTTATTATAATATATTTATTACATATTATACGCAAAGCTGGCCAAGTTAATTAATTTTTGTGACTCGTTAAGTTAAGCTGTTTCGGCGAAATTTACTTTAATTGAAGAATTCATTTTCATTTTTATTAAACTTGTAAAAATTAAAAGTTAAATAAAAATAAAGAAAACTATCCTGGTCTAATAAAATAATCTTAAAAAAATATTATTTTGATACCAATGTAGATACGTCATTTCGATCTCTATTGAAATCCAGGAACGATTTCATAACTCTGATTACTTTTATTAAAAACGGTAATTTGTATAGAAAAATATATGTCCAGTCCCCGGAATTTAATTAAGAAAAAAAATGTAGCCAACGTGACTAAAATTAATTAACTGCGTACGGATGAAAAATATTTAACCCGTAAAGTTAGAAGTCACTTAAAAAAAAAAAAAAAAATTAGTAATTATGTAAATAATAAAAAAAAAGGCTCGATAAATAGCTCGGTTAACAGCAGTAACTTAAACTCTTATAACTCGTTTGTGCTCGTCCTCCTGTGAACATTTATTTTTTATATATCACGTAGTACTGTTGGGTCCGATGAGTTATTTTTCGAATAAATCTCCTGTAAACGAGTGGCAGTGAGTAGATTCGAAAATGTCCGTTTCAGACTGCTGTACTCCGTTTTGCCGATCAGTGTGGCGACGGAGTTGAGACACAAACGGCCGGTTCCGCCGAAAAGGTTCGAGTGCGTGACGCTGCTGTTTTCCGGCATAGTCGGCTTCAGCGACTATTGTGCCGGTCACGCGGACTCGAAAGGCGCCATGAAAATCGTTCGGATGCTCAACCAGCTCTACACGGCTTTCGACGTGCTCACCGACCCGAAGAAAAACAAAAACGTCTACAAGGTATAATACGTAACAGTTCGATTAAAAAAAAATCACACCCCTCCCGTTACCTGTGACCGATGCGGTTAGTGTACTGCTTTTCCATCGCGTTCAAATCCTTCGCGTCCAGCGCGGTTATGCTCTGCGTGTTCCTTGTGACAACCGTACCCGTTTCACGGGCATAACGGACGGAGGCATAACGCTTCGAGGGTCATTACCGTCGTCGACCGTTAACCATCCACCGACGATATGAGTAATAAATGTGTATTTATTTAATATTCGTTGGCGGTTGATGCGATTTGATTGATACCGATGGAATCGGTATTAACAGATAATTTTGAAAAACATTCCATATTTATTCTTCGGTCATTCGTAATACGATATCTACTCGTATTCGTCTACCTATATTAAATTGTCTATAAAGATACGTGGACCTGGAACACCTTATTGATCAAACATCTAGTTGGGACTAATGACCAACCTGGTGCGACCGTAAAGTGTCATCGTCCTAAATTTTTGTTAAACAGGACATCTGGTTTAAATTTGTGATCGAGGACAACGAAATAATAACATTTTTATGTAATATTACGAGTAGTTCTGACATGCACAATTACTGACAAGAAGTTTTCGTTCATAATTAATGCCAAAGGTGGACATCAAATAGACAAAAAGCTAATATTTTATAACTTTTTATCTGGATTATGACTGGTGAACTAATTAACTAAACATTTTAGTTAAACATTAAATAATCTTATTTATAATCGCATGTTATTCAAAGAGAAGTAATGTTTATATGTGCAACTACGACTGAAGTGTGCATTATTCATGATTGAAACATAAATGTATAACAATACGGTAACGAAATTAAAAACAAAATTATTGATTTTATGTGATACGAATAATAATTGAAAAGTAGGTAAATCATCTTATTTTAAATTCAATTAAATGTACGTCTTTCTGCCTATAATTTTTAAACTTACATAACTCAATTTAAAATTTGTTTGTTAAATATTTTGCCATTCTTGTATTGATTTCACTAAGATAATTTATGTTGATTATTTTCATTCGCTTGACCACCTTTAGTCGAAACATAATACATTTAAATGAAATAATAAAATAATAAGTGTTTGAGTAGTCATAAAGTAGTGTAGAATAATAAATTCTGATCAATATATATGTAATGTGATCCTAATACAAAATCCTGAGGCTCCGAATTGTTATTATAATACTGTTGTATAATGTACGTAGACATACATTTATGTACGATTTTACCGTTGCAAAACGCGTCGTTCAGTTCAATAAATTCACTATTGTCGTAAACGCGTAAATAATAAATATCATAACATTATACCGCTGTTTCAATCCAAATTCTGTTTTAGAGACATTGGATAACGTAGTTTTTTCATCATAAACAGTGAATGTACAACCGATATTGTGCACTGCAGTACATGAGATAGAATTTACACGGCAGTGTAATCGTGCTTACGGTTGATTTAATACAAAAAAAAAAAAAAGACTGATCTATTTTTTGGCTAAAATTACTATTCATAACAAATGTTTTTCCAAACACAACACTACACAATATTGGTTAAATAATATTATACTTTTTAACAAATGCAAATGTCGATAAAAATTTAAAGTGTATAAAATATGGACAACGGTTTAAATTACACGGCTTAATAAAATACATTTGAACGATTAGGTTTTTTGGAAAATAATAATAAGTTCTATCATAGATATATTTAATCTAAAAGAGGATAATTAATCTTTACAGAAATATTATGTAACATTTTCTCTCGGTATTCTTTAAGAATTGAAAAAATTCGATAAGTTTTCAACCCCGTCTGTTTTAATAAATAATAGGTAGTTTCAATCTCCATAGTATACGACATATAATTTTGCTCTGTTATTGAATCAAAGGGATTTATTTTCAGTATGACATTTTCGTTGTCATAAAAGTATTTTCAATAATACATGAATACTATGAACATACCTATAACTAATAAGCGAATCGATTTATAATAAATATCACTATATTAGTCACTCGATGGATTATGATAGATTTTTATCATCAGTTTTGTTTCTCTTTCCAATTTCTAGTGTTCTTAGACGTGGGTCTTCAGATATTTTAAAAGTAAACTTCGAAACCCAAACTTAAAAACATAAATGTTTTTCAGATTTTCAATCAGATATGTGTTGAATTTCGAATAATGTATACAATAAATACAGCATAACTTCAACAATTTCCAATACGTGTTCGTCTATAAACCAACACAGTATGGCGTCAGTAAGAGATATCTTTGCGGTGACATAAAATTTAAATAATTATTTAATGAAAAACGATTTTGATACGATCAAAACAATAGATCATGTTGAAACTTTAAAAAGGTATATAAATAACGTTTTGAAGATTTGTATACAATTATCATTAATTTCTGAAAACTTTTAAAAACAAAAACAATCATTTATTTTAAATGTCACACTCCTAGTTTTAAGAAATATATGTGTTGTAAATGATTAAATATAAAAGTTTGTTCTAGTAGGGCTGATTGTGTAATACAAGAAAAATCTTTTATACACCTCACCCTACCTAAAAAAATGTCTATATTTCATCGGAGTTTGTCAAATAGATTGTCATCCTTTGAACATATTTCTTAAACAATTTTTCTTAATAACAAATAATACAATTTAAACAAGTTGCAGATTTTATTTTTATAAAAATAAAAACAAAATCTTAAAAAAAAAAGATAAAATAAAACATTAATTTTTAGTAGTTTTCTAGGGATGATTTAAATAACGTATAATGTATAAAGTAATTTAAAAAGTGTATTTTCTCCGTCTTCTAACGATTTACGAGTATATTATGACTTGGAATTTCTAGATTTTGAAGACTGTAAAAAATAAGGTTTTATTTTGAAAAATCTTTTTTTTTTAAAATCTATAAATTAATCAAATCAAACGTTTGAAAGTACTCTTAAATTTCAATACTGTTATCGTGAATAAAAATAAAAATGTAGAAAACCACACATTACTATCGGTGTGTATCAACGATTTAATTTATTACCATTACCAATCAATATTAATGATGTCATAATCTAAATAAGTTTATACGATAACGACGTTATATTGATATTTTCTACGACACACATAGTTCTCAATAATATAAACACTAATCACTAAAAAACTAGATTTTTATTCACTAATTGGATAAGCTAATACGTAATGAACGCCAAGCACGTAACAACTGTACGGTCTAATAGATAATACTGAAAAAAAACATCATCCGAGATATGATTTAATCTTTCAACTATACTCACTACTCCAGAAATGCAAAAAACAGAATATATAACTTATGGAAGCTATATTGCAAATATTAACTTGCACTCTTCATCGAGCTTCTTACTTTTTTCTGAATAAATAGGAAAATGTATTTTTTTCCTTAAAATTAAAATTAACTCGTTTAACAAAAATAATACATAATAATATACGTACTAACAAGCAATCAACTAATATGATAATGATCGTGGGTAATTACAACGGTACTGACATGCAAATCGTCAAATTTCTTTTCTTTTTATCCTTGCAAAAGTGGCACCAGTATGTGTCGACAATATTGTAAAGACCTTTAATTCGACGAGCAAATAAAATGGAACGTTAAAGTATAAAATTCGACATTCGCATGATATCATGCATTGAGTATTACATATACGTCTCAAGCACGTGGCTTGTTTTTTAATGTCCCGTAATTTCTAAATCAACGGACATTTAATCGTCATATTTATTTAATAAATTGAATAATACGATGTATCTATTTCAATTGATTCGATTCATCTGCAGTTTAAACAATAAATAATAATACACTTAAATGTTAGTATTGGCAATGAACGTAAAACGAAAAATGTGTATAAAATTATTTATTTTTATTTATGTATTTATTTATTTTTTTTTTTTTTTGTCAATACATCTGGCCTGATTTCGATTCATTGAGTTCGACGACTTGCATTATTCCGTTAGTATTCCGTTCCACGGAACACGGTAGAATTTTCGCGCCGGACACGTGTGACTTATTTTGGACATGCGTAAACTGCGCCCCGATTACGGTTTGGTTCAAGAAAGGTTTAACACGTTACCGTACTGCTGTGATTGATAGTCAACACAATACGTGGCATTGATCTACCATTACCTATCGTGCATCAAATCGATAAAATAATCGGCGGAGTCACGATGGTTGAACGATTTGTGTCGCGGTGTGAAAAGCGCTTGAAACTGATTTCAAGTCCTGATTTTCGTGTCACTGATCAACCTTTAAGTTCAGGCGAGGTTGAGTGGCGGTATATAGTTGAAACGTACAGAGCGTTTTTGAAAACTATCGATGACGACGGTTTGAGCAACCGAACAAAACGTAAGCCACGACCACGAATTTCATTGTTCACATTTTCCCGCTTGACAAATAAGACTCAGTTTGCGTGCACACGGTTTTCGTGTTCGCCTGTGCGTCGGGATCCGCCTGTTTTTAGAGGGGTCTACAAGCGTAATTCAAGGGAGTTTGGGGGGCTTAGCCCCCCAAACTTAGCCAAAGCCCTACGAAAATCCATGAAATTTCAAAATGTTATATTTCGTGACAAATATTTTGTATGATTACGAAAATAAGGTTATTAAAAGCCCCACGGGTATGTTTGGTGTACATTTTTGTCATACAAGTCCTCTGGGTAAAAAATTGAAATCGCGTTTACGGGAGGGTCTTAGCGATTATTAGTCGCTAATCGCGGTCGCGTTCTGCCCGCAGGTGGAGACCGTCGGCGACAAGTACATGGCGGTCAGCGGACTGCCGGAACCATGCGAGGATCACGTACGGTGCATTGCCCGGCTGGCGTTGGACATGATGGATCTCAGTCACACGGTGGTCGTGGACGGCGTGCCCGTGGTAAGTTTGCAGTGCGAATCGTTGGACCGCGCACGTCAAACGGCAGCCCGTCAGAGGTGGAACTAGGAATTTTTATGCCAGGGGAAAATGTTAAAATACGCCTTGACATAAACCAATAATTGAATACTCTTCTCGAGAATTTTTTTCTAATAATTAATATACAATCATACTTATTGAGTTTTAACCTCATATCAGTGTTGGACAAAGTTAAAAATATCAAATTAATTGTTAATAATTACAAAACTTACAACTTATAAAATGTTACGCCCAGGGATGAATCCCCGTCTTCCACCCCTTAGTTCCGACCCTGGTCGCCGTCAACCCTTTCGTGGAGAACGCGGACGCCGTACATTTTTGCGCGGCGTACCGCTGTCCAGAGGGACGGTTCGGACGCACGTTCGTTCGATGTGTAATTTTTTATTTTTTAATTTTTCCATTATTTTTTTTACGCAGCGCATAACAATAGGCATACACAGCGGCGAGGTGGTCACCGGCGTGATCGGTCATCGGATGCCTCGGTACTGTTTGTTCGGCAACACCGTGAACTTGACCAGCAGGACGGAGACCACGGGTATACCGGGAAAGATCAACGTCTCGGAAAATGCGTACAAGTACGTTTAAGTTGAACACGTCGCGTAGACCATGCTTACTGCGTTCTAGGTAGCTTCCCGTTGTCCTCCTAGTCGGAAAAGATCCAAGACAGAGTTCTTGGGTTTCGTACGCTTCTAGTACTATTATGCAGTTGTGAAATAATTATAATAACAGTAATGATATGAAACGATATACCTACCGACTGAAACCACCGACTGAATTTAATTGCTCCGCGAGAACGTAAAACGTAAAGCAGTGTTGTAAATTTGATTGATAGAATATCAAATAGGGCGACTGTAATTGTTTGAAATCTACGGAATACGTTTAAAGTAACGTTTCGCAAATTAAATAAATGTCAAAATAACCGAAATATCTTTAATTGGTCTTATTCTCCATTAACAGCAGCTCGTATATCGTATATACATTACATCGTTACAAGTATTTCTATTAACATGTCTACTTTTCTATACGCGGATTAAATACGTTAATGATCCCATAACCATTTAGTTACGTAAGTTAATAATGCTCACAACGATTTAGTCTATACATAACACGCTTTAATGTTTACAGAGCAAGATTAGCCAGTGAAATAGACTTAATGTTGCTACGATTTTTTTTTTTTAGATCCTGAGTGAAACGAGAAATATATTTTTAATTAGTACCGTGTACAAATATGCAGAAATATAATATAATTACGATTGTATCGTATTAAATCGCACGATAAGATTACATTTAATTAACAGCTATACATATTTCCTACATTTATAATTATTTCAAAACAAACACAAAATATGTTAATATTTATTCTATAAATATCTACCGAAACCTCATATGAAATAATTATGCAACTGTTTGGTGCATAAAATATTCATATATCAAGCCTTCAAAATAATTTCAAACTTTCGATCAGGTTTTATCTCATAGTATATTAAACAGTAATTAATCTTATACAAATGTATTTGATTCAATGAATAATTTTGATTAAAAAATATGTAATAATATGTGCACGACAGAGGAATAGTTGGCGTTTAAACGTACACCGTCAAATAAATTATTGACATTAGCCTATTTCGTCATTTGCTCGATCGCCGAGAACAATGAATCTCTTAATTTTAAACGGCTCATCAATGAAATGTTTTATTTAAAATCAGCTGAAAAACATCAACAAAAGGCATGGGAATTGATAAATTATTGTTATGTCACAATAATTATTTTTTCAGTTTAACACGCTGAGCTCATTTTATAATACTTTTTTTCCGTTGTATTAATTCAATTTCGTTCAGCCGACTTCACGGTCGTTTAACTTCGACAAACAAAAACAACTCATTGTCACCCTGTGTATACTGTTTCGATACCAAGCTGTAATGGAACATAACGAAACGAAAAAAAAAAATTATTAATCGCATAATAATTTGACAAGCAGACATCGTAGTCGTTAAATGTTCCGCCTAAAATTAGATAACAAGATGCGTTGTTCGTTGCACAAAACGAGATGGAGACGGTCCCAAATACATGCGCACACACACGTTATATTATTATAAATTCCAAGGCTGGGCATGTTAATTCATTTTTTTTTTTACCCTTAAAGTTTAGTTAATCTAGAAATAACTTAGTTACAAATAAGTAACTGAATAATATTACGAGTATGATGATAAAAAACTATATTTACGTACCTACGTTATTTTAAACAATAATCCCAATTGAAATGCAAGAAAAGTGTATTCAACACTTGTACACAAATATATTTTTAATCTCTGGAATTTTAATTGTGAAAAAAAAATTAACTATTGTGGCTTTAAAATGAATAACCGATGAGTAACTGCGTATTATGGAAAAAAATTTAAAACATTCGATTTGAATTTAATTGTAAAAAATAATTAGCTCATAAAATTACTTAACCTAACCTTTCAACTCAACTTCATCTTTTTTTCTCATTAATTGGGAGCTGTGATAAATTTCGAGTACGTTGTAAGCGTTCAGTAGACGATATATTGCGATAAAAACATAATTCGGGTAAACGCGATTTCTGAACATATCGAAAACTCAAAATACCATAACGAAAATGTACAACTTAATACGACGACCCAGGATAGTGGGAAACGGTTTTCCTTTGCACCATAATAATTTAACAGTCGTCGCATCCATTTAACGTCTGGAACTGTCAACGCGAGGTTATCCAACATTCCATCATCGTTTTTCATTCTCCCTTCGCGCCCATATGTATAATACGGTAATATACATAAAATTTCACACGCGCATGCCCGCACTAACCCCTCTAGTCTGCTAGTCCACGTCTTATGCTCAATGATTGTTTTAACTGTTATTACTTTCGACCTATTCGTTTTATCTTTTACGTTTTTTCGAGGTAGGTCTTGCAATTTCTTTTGAAATAACAATTTTTAATGGTACACATAATATTTAGGTGTGGCCATGCGGATCATATACGTATACATATATATATACGTAATCGGATATATGACACAAATATACGCTTCAAGTATAAGGTATGCGCCAAGCAGGGGGGGGAATCACTTAAATATTCTTATTGTAATGGTTATCATTGTATTATTATTGAGAAACGGGCAGATAATAAACTCACCGTGGGACGCATGTACGGTAGATTGTTGTGTAATAAAACGAACGCTACAGCAACGACGAGACCAATCGAAAACTTCTTACGGGTAGTTCTTATGGGTGTTCGTGACCTGAATTTTAGTTTAACGTGTTTAAGATGCGTATTAAAAAGAAAAAAAGAAAGAAAAGTAGAATATAAATACAAATACATAATTATGTATGTATATAGCTGTTGGTGACAATTAAAAACGCTAAGGAGAACATAAAATAGATCGTAACACTTATTCGCTAAGTCGACGTAAGATTACTGCAGGAAAATCAGCGAGAAAACGTAACGTTTCATAAACGATTAATCATGTAAAAAATAATTTGATACTATACGATTAGCCACAGATAATCAGCTTTGATTAGACGACCAGCAATTGAAATCGACATCCAATACTTCATTATTTCGTTATACATTACTTATGTAAACAATACATCTAGTTTGCGAAAAACGGGCGTAAAGTTTGCAGGTTGCTATGCAGTTCTGAAATACATTACTTTTAATAATACATTTCGTAGAACTTTACCTTTTATAATATTGGATTGCTGAAACGATTCGCGTTTCATAATTATTCTCACGATCCCCTTTAGTTTTAATATTGTTAGAATATTAATGTTTCCCCTTTTGTGGGCAGTTAAAGTTTTATAATTTTTAAAATCCAATGAAAAAATAGTATTCTAAAATAAATAGATTTTGGATGAACGTATATTATGCTATAGTTTTTGATCAATCCGAGATGATATTAATTATTCTGAACTCGTGTATGTAACTCGTGTATTGTTATATACGAACATAACGCTATCCGTAATCCCAATTGAGTGTACATACGATGATGATAAAATTGTCTAACTGGGTACATACATTGATTATAACAACATATACGTATAGGTTGTGCATTTGCCCCGGAGCTGGTCACGGATCACTAGAAAAATATTACGCTCAATAGTATAATAACAATAACATTAATTCTAGTAACAATAATGATAATAATATGCACTTGGATTATCGAGCAGAATTCACGTTGTTCGTTTGTAATCCCAATTGAAGCGCGTATTATCTAGAATTTATGAAGTTAGAACAATTTAATTTCAATTTAAAATAATATTTTATCGCTAGGATTCCGGTGTGGTCCTTTATCGTGGAAAACGTTACACCTCGTTAAACGGTTATTGCGCAATAAACTTCGCTGTGGAATTATTAACGACCGGCGAAATATTAACGAACTGCTGCCGGATTTCACGTTTGCAGAATGTAAACCAAACAACAAAGCTAAGAAAAAAGCGTTTTAAAATGCGAAGACCAGCGCGATATATATATATATATATACATATATGTATGTATGTGTATTTGTGTGTGTATCTGTGTTCGAAAACAATACGATTCTGTTACAATATTTTCGCAGTCGTATAAATTCAAATGATCGCGTTAGTCAGTTTTCTTGAAAATAAAAACTATGGACGACGACGCACTCAAACGCGTTGGAAACTGTGTGCAAATAAACATAATTTTTGTATACATTATGCGCTTGTATCAAGGCCAGATTATGGTCACAATATAAAGGAAGCTATTACTTTTGGTTATACCTTTTCGCCCTAAACGGTTTAATAAATATTAATGAAAATAAGTGTAGTATTATTTTGTTCGGTCCGTACGGCGATACTTGTCGAACCCATCCTACTGCAATTAGAAAAACTTTTTGGTACAATAAATAAAACGCTAACGTTTGGCTTACTTAAATATTCTGCTAACGAATTATTTATTCAAAATCATATTGGATCGCATCAAGGTTTTGGCGATTGGTCGCAGTTGTCGGCAAGCCGGTTTACAAAAATAATGATCATCCGCACTGGAACGATCTACACGACCTGCTCTAATCTTATCGAATGCGACTAACTGCTAACTTGATCGATTAAACAATACATCGTATTCGTTAACCAATGATCATCAAATGCGTAGGAGTCCCTTTTAAATTGTAGCTCGGGGCTACGTCCCGCCCCCCCCCTAATTTCGATCCTGCCCTGGTGTGTCTGTCATCCGGATAACGTACGTTGTTCTCTGCGCGGTCACGTTTCCCCCTGCACTGGCCGTTACGAGGTAACGCGAAAACACACCGTTCGAACGATACGAATCCAATCGACATCCGCTTTTGAGTTGACATCGCGAGTACACGAATCGTGCGCTGCGTTTGACACCCGTTTTTTTATTCCTACCCGTCGACAAACGTTATTAGCAATACGTCGCCGTGATGTTATTATTATTATTATTATTATTATAAACATTATCATAATTATTCTCTCAGAGGACGCAATGTGATTCGTCAATACACCGCAAGTAACAGTAATGCGTTCCAAGAGAAACGACTCGCATAGCGTTATCCCCCGTGAACACGTACCGTACTGCGCCAACTATTTGCGGACGTCACGTGATGTTCAACGTTTCTTGATCATTTCCCATCGCCATCCCTCCTCACCGCGTGCCAATGTCAATGGGATCCGATCCTTCACTTGTCTGTCATACCCTACGCCACCCCGTCCCGGTAAAAGCATAATCCCGTAACCCGACTCGCAACTGCCCGCACGCCGTTCATAATACTTATCACGTCTTAATCAAATAGCTTCGTCTGCAGTGCAGTAATGTCCTTACGTCGTTGCGATGTGATTATCATCGTGTTTAACGATGGCTATTGTTCATTCCGGCAGAAATCTCAGTAAAATATTATCCGCAATACACGCAGTAGAATTTTGTTTAAGGCGCTTTCCTAGAGATCAGTTAAAACAGCCGTGTTAAATGGAAAATCGTCGTGTTACGCTGGAAAAACATTTTTAATTATGACAAATAAAAAATTGTACATTGCAGAGTGCATTTTAAAACTTAAATTACATATTGTTTTACGTTACTTACTTCAAAAACTCATCGATATTTGTTTTTTTATTATATTTTTTTTATTTTTAATAAGATACTTGGAGGAAGTTCTCGGTTTTATTGATATGATTTAAAGTTTCGTAAGCACTGTCAAAAGACGTAATTAATTTTCTCAAAACGTTGTCATGATCGAATGCATTTGCTATTGGAAAAATCGGTGTTGTATCATCCTTTTCCTCCTCCTTGAAAGTTAAGTAGAAAAAAGCAATACCTCACCCCATTTATAAATGAACTATTTAAATGGTTGGCAATCAACAACAAGCATTTTTAGTATTGTAGAATTGAGTTTTAGAAAGTAGTCGGCAAATTCGTGTATTTATAACCCACTCCCCCCATAAATATTTGCTAGCGCCAGCCCTGGGGATTTCTTTAAATTTAATACATTTTTTTTTTATTAACATAACTTTCAATGACAGCGGCTTATCCGGAAACATAGGGCGTAATAGCTGAAGTTGGATATTGAACGTTGTCAAAATCAAGGAACTCTTAAAAATTAGTGTATAAGATGAGAAACCATCTTAAACGATAGCGTTTTAAACAGAATTCAGATTGTAGTATTCACAGCGGATGATATTTTACTCACAACTATTTGTATTAACATTTTCTAAATTAGTAAACTGTCACTGTAGTCATTCTTCGTCCTTAAAAATATTACAAGTGGACGTATAGTAGGATGGTACACATAATATGTGTGAGGTGAAAATAAGAAACTGTAAAACGATTCATCTTCGATGTCCAGTGAACAGTGTAAACATTAATGTAATGTATTGACAACCGTTGATAATAATATTCAAATTTTTATCGCAAGACTTTCTCATTTTACGCGTCTAATTTTAAACATCGACGGATATAAAAAATAAAAAAAAATCAACCAGTTACGTTAAATGTTAAACAGTCAAATGTATAATGAGTATTACATTTTATACATTCGATTTAATGATCGATCATTTTATTCGAGAAATAAATATTTGTTTCATCGTAATATTAAATCACTTCGCAGAACATACATTTATATAAATTATCAATAATAATTACCGTAACATTATATTAATATAAACGACTGTTTTACATTAAATTCAAATCTATACTGAAAATCGATACGCTTTATCAATGCTCAAAAAACATAATATATATTATAGATAGAATGATTGTAACTTATAATAACGTTATCTGTAATATTTTTGTCAAAAATAATAAAATTTAATTCGGATTCTAATACGTCTAACACATTATAATATATCACAATCATATAATAATGTTTTTTTTTTTTCATACTACAATGTTATTACATAACAAAACGTCAAAACCTATCGACAATACAATAATTTTAGATAATCAAAACTGTCATAGTAAATAAAAAAAAAACAGTATTTAATCGTAAGACCAAAAATACGAACAAAATTCTATAAACCGTCGTGGAAATACGATCCAGCATCCCCGCGACATTCGTTAACCTAACGATATTTATCGTCCGCGGACTCCGAAATTCGTTATCCGTCATGCTTTGCGATTTCGAAGCGAACGCGTCACCCCGACAAAACGAACGAAAAAATCAACAAAGTGTTGGCGGTTTTGATTCGATCGTTTAATTTTTTTTCGCCCGCGGACACCGCGGTATCGGTTCAGGGTAACGCGACCGGTTGGCGGTGGTACCGATTTCCGGAAAAGATCTAGACAAAAAAAAATCCAAAAATTGCGTTCAAAACCGTTGTCGCGTTCGGCACGTGGACGATGTTCAATGCTCGAGGTCCAGATAGGACGCCAACGACCTGGGCACGGGCAAATGTGGTATGCCGTGCGGCAAGCGGAAGTTTTCGTGCAAAGCGTTGCGCACGGCGCACCGGGCCAGGTGCATCAGTGACGGCGGCGTACGGGTGACGGGATCGTCGCAGCGGTGGTCGTCGTCATCGTGGCCCGTGCTGCCGTGCTCGCTGACCACCGCCCTGAGCAGCACGTCCATGCAGGCCTGGGCGCCGGCCCCCAGCGGCCGGTCGCCATGGTCCGCGGTGTTGCGCAGGTACGCGATGGCCGCGCGCACCGACCGCTCCGCCGCGCCGTACCGCAGCAGCAGCGCGACGGCGGCCGCGTCGCCGGTGGCCGTGGCTACCACCACTGGCGTGGCCCGATACGACTGCATGCGCACGTCCTGCATCCTGCGGCCGTCGAGCAGAAGTCGCGCGCGCGTTGCCCGGTCCAGGAAGAACGCCAATGCCGTCCGGTTTTCCGCGGCCGTCACTCCGTAGTCCGTCCACCGGCCGCTGATCATCCGCGCCACTTTGCTGCCCACCACCGCGCCCTCAAACAGCTTCTCCAACGTTTTCTCGCACCTGCAATAGCGATAAACGTGCACGATTAGCTTCGCATAATATTATACACGTTACAATTGCAAAGAATTCACGCGAGTATCAATCCGATTCGATTAAGTTCTCGCGCAGTTCATCAGACATTCCGATAAGTTGTTACGTATAAGCTGGACGACTGATGTCTGAACTCTGAACTCTCGGTTGAAAATACGTTGAACGATTTTCAACCATAGAACGGGGTACAGAATAATTTTATTGTTCTTGGACTAGAATTTAGATTTTGGTTGTAACCAATCTAGTTGGTTTTTTAATCGAAAGCGAAAAATCGTTTAAAATAACGTCGGGCAAATCGGTTGTTCTATATGTGTGGCCAACGCCTTCAACGATTCCAACAGTGGTTACAACAACGTTGTTAATTATTATCCTGTACGTCCGAAGACTTGACTGATCTGAGTTAATAAAGTCTAAGCGAATGAAAACAATCTAAAAGGGTTTACAAAAATGATATAACAATATCGAAGTTTCAAAAATTCGAGTAGAAAAAATTGTACGATTTATTTTCTGAACACTCGAGTGGATATTTGACTTACTCCCTAATTCAACTAATTTATTATAATAATGGTGTGGTAAATTTCAAGCGTCTTTTTAAATTATTCGTTAGGGTTTGTTGCGTGTATCATGACGTTTATGCGATTTTTTTTTTTTTTTTATGCGCATCAGCAAGTCAACACCGAAATAAGTTTTAAAAAATACTAGAAAATCGTGAAAAATAAACCTACAAACATTCCAACTTATATATAACAATGAACAACAAATGGCTAACAATTTTGCAGAAAAATTGTAAAAGTTAACTCAAGTGTACCATGCTATTCCGCTATCTTGGGCATCAAATCAGAAACACAACTATTCAAAGCGTCAAGAATGTAGAAAAAATCGTAGTTCATTTCCGTTTTAACTCGAGTGTGATTTTAAAAAATAAAAACAATCTGAAATGTATTTTAATTAAACGTCAACTAAACAGCACGATTTTTAAATTTTTATAAGAACGTTTTCAGTGGTTTTACAATATTTACAGTTTTTTCAATTAATGCGTTTTAATACAAGGGAACGTAGGAAAATGATACTGAAAATTCAAGTTAATCTACCAAAAATCGTAGTGTTAAGCAAATTAATCGAAAAATAAATAACAGAGCAATCTGGTTTTCAATAAAATCTTAAGTAGTTTTCTGTACAAGGGCAAAGCTAATTCGTTTCACATACATCATTCTAAATGCGATACGTATTTCATCATTGTTTCAACATTTGAAATGATATACTATCATATCAGTACATGATTAATTCAAAACAAGATGTACGCTTCTAACTCCCTTCGTAGATGCCGTTGATATTTTTAAATCGACCAAGGTTCATCGGGAACGCTAATATTTTCCGCTCCGACGTGCAATCGCAGCGAGACAGCTGGAAAATTCGATCACCGAAAAAATTTGCATCGTCTAGAGGGCAAAACGATTGAACAGTGAGCGTTTGAAAACGATTGAAGACCAGTAAATGATTAACCGTCCAGACACAAGCGTGCACTTTTCAACCAACTGCCGATGGAGATCGAACGAGCCGCGCGAAGCTGCTAGAAGGTATACGAGTATAGCATATTTTATAGGGTCGATTAGACGCGATTCCAAAACAGAACCGTTTTGTATTCGCCATCCCGAACAGGAATTATATTGCCGTTTCGAATCGGTTTTGTCATTTAATTTTTGCGACCGTTCGGACGCGTACCCGCGAGTTCGGCCGGTCGTCCGTTGCACGGAAGTAACATAAAAATACCTGATGATAATAATAATAACAATAATAACAGTACGATGTTATCGTATGATACGAGCCGTAACGGGAGTTGGGGGCCAGTGGGTCAATAGGTGGTCCGGCAGCGGGACCCGGTTCTAATTTCAACGCGGCGCAGATCATCAAGTCTCTCTTCGAGGTTAGCGAATTGCCTACGCGCGTTTTACTAACGTATCCGCTACTGTGGTGGTACACACGCGTCGCGCGATAATTTCACGTGTCCGCGTCGTTACGCCGCGGCTGGGCGCGCTGGTTGGGCAAGCGTACTCGTTGTGAACGACCGCGCAAACCTCGAGAATCGCTTTTCCGTCGGTCGCCCGTGTCCATTGCGCGTCGTTTGCGTTTCCGCCGTTGTTGTTACATATTCTTATGATTACCGCGGCGGTGTATATAATCCGCGTGTTTTTACGCGTCCGCACGTTCACGCTTACGGCGGGTGTGCTCGGCCGAATAAATTGTACCGCGCGGGCGAACGCGTCGGAAACAACGCACGAGATGAACGCAAGGCGATACGTTATAGGCGCGTTGAGCCCCGCGTACGCGCTGGAGCAGGGGTTCCCAACCCGTGGTACGCGTACCACTAGTGGTATACGGAAGACTCGTAGGTGGTACGCGAAGAAATGTTTCGGTATAATTATTATTATTACTATTTGCATTCAATGTTATTCGGTTTAGATTATTTGCTGTTATCTAATTTTATGAATATCGATGAAATTGGGTTTGTAATCGTAGCAATTTATTTTTATTATTGTTTACTCGACCTGATATTGATGTTCTTGTACAGAATAAACAAAAACAAATATCGCGTTAAATTTTAAAAATATAATTGTAATTTAAATATTAAGATTTAACTAAATGTTGAGATTTATTTTTTTACTTTTATACATTTAAAATAATAAAAAATTATAAAAATTAATGAATAATAAAAATATACTTTAAAGCTTTAGAATTAAGGTGGTACGTGTATTGATTATAAAAGTGTCCGATGGTACTCGACGATAAAATGGTTAGGAATCCCTGCACTAGAGCACGCACAGACTGAGAACGTGTGCTCATGCTGTGCGTTTTACAAATTCGCTGAACGAGAACGGTATATCGAGCACGTACGAGCGTTTTCGACGCACAGCAAACGCAGGCCGGGACGGGGACCGGCTCGCGTTCGTTTTGCGTCGCGACAACCATCATATTTACTGCTCGGAGTGTGGACGGCGGTACGTTCAGTATTGTGGCGACCGCGCGCACGATTACACAAGTTCAGTGTATAATTATTTAATAATCATTATTATTGATTTTCGTTTAAATTTTTCGAAATGGAATGGAGTAATGTGTCATTCAACATTACCAACAACACCCAGTGCTATGGAACCCAAAAAATAATAATTATTTTTCTAAAATAAAAAAAAAAAAAAAAAACGAAGCGTGGGAAATTATCTCAAAAAATTTAAATAGGGAAGTCGAAGACGTTAAAAAAAAAAAAGACCTAAATTTTTTGGGTTCTTTTGGGCGTGAAATAGTCACTCGAGTGACAATAACAATTAAATAATTATTATTAAAGTTTAAATTTTAAACACGATATACGAAAAGCAACATGCACTGTATACCACTGTTCACCACACAACTGATTATCCGGAGCGCAGATTTATCGTATACAAGCTTGTTGTACGTGGTAACGTCCATACTGAGCACACACAGCACACAACGTGAGCACACATGCTCGATATATGCGTGTTATAGTGCAGTGGTCTTCAACTGGTGGGTCGCGACCCAATTTTGGGTCGCGTAAGCTTTAAGATTGGGTCGCGATAAGTTTTCTGTTTAAAATTTAAAAAAATCATATTTATATATATTATATAATTTATGTCAGATGATACTGCATAAAAATGTTTTCGAATAGAACCGAAACCGTACTATTTTATACTATTTTAAATTTGTAGAAGATTAGAATGAACCCTTTTTTCTCAAACACTCATACTAAATTAGAAAAAATCCTCAAACCAATATGCAACATATACCACTAATCATTAACTATTGAACACATAGTGGAGGAATGAACACAGTTTACCTCAATACGCACCGACCTGAACATGCCATCCAACATAGTAAAAGTACTTAGCGAAAAACAAACTCTGAAAATTGTCACATTATTAAGTATCACAAATATTATATTAATAAATTTTAATTTACATCTAACTTCACCTGTATAATATTTCATATGTAATATTGTAATTTTAAATCTAACACCTAACACATCAAATATGTAACATCTAATAGCTAATAATATTTGCTGTTGAAGCCTCAATCTTCAAATAAAAGAAAAAAAATAATAAACAATCAAATGAAGTGATGGGTTGACTTAATTCATAAATCGCATTTACATTTCATATATTTATAAACTGCATTGTGTTAAGTTGAGCTGAGGTGGAGGTATTTCATGTGAAAACAGTCCGGGACAAATATCGCACTCATTTCTTTTGTATATCAAAACATATACATTTTTCGGTATCATTAAATGTATTTTTTTTTTTTTTTTTTTTGTATCATTACTTGTATTAAAAATTAAATATTTCCTAAATACCTAAAAAATATCAATTTTGATTTATTTTGTTATAAAAGCACTTCTAATATGGCATACATTAAATAATTTTAACTTTTTTATTTGGCTTTCATGGCTATCGAAATTTACATGGGTCACGAAAAATGTTTAGTAAAAAAAGTGGGTCGCAGGTCGAAAAAGGTTGAAGACCACTGCTCTAGTGTGTACGCTGCTTTAGGTAATCGCAGCGCTTGCGCGCGTTACGTTACGTCGTACAGCGACCGGGTCGTGTCGAGAAAACCGAATTCGTCGGAAAAATCAAACTCGACAGCAGATCGGTGCCGAGAAACAATACGAATAATGATTACGATTTCCGATCGTGCGACAGGGGAAAAGAAATCGAACGTGAGTAGACACGTTTATAACGGAACCGTCTATGCGAATCCTATGCACCGAACTTCGCGAATTACAATTCAACGTGTGGAAAATCGGTTGGCCATCTATAAACTCAACGACGAACAAACGAAAAAAGTGAAACCGCGTGGAAAATATAATAAATTCGAAGTATTAATTTCCCCTCCGCCCCCACACCCCGGTTCAGTAGTTCGTTGACAGAAGAAGAACAATAAAACCGAATAATTGATTTCGTGCC